ATTCAATACAGATAAGATTGTATAAAAAAGATCTAAATGTGATTAGATTGAGACTTGAAATCAGCATATGAATTTAGTGAATAAAGTGTGGATCATATTAGGAAATGTAGACCTACTAGTTAGGGTTCTCGCAAATTATGACTGAAGAAGCTGGATAACATAATTCAAGTCGGTGGAAATCGACCACATCAACACTCATCAGTCTTTATCAGATCTCAAATTTAGCCTTTTTCTATACTTTTAACTCTCTGTGTAATTTATCCCTTTTTAAACCAGATATTTTACACTAAACTTTCGAATATGATTGATACTTTTATAGCATCATATGTTTGTTTCCTGGTTACCTCCTACTCATACATGTAAAGGCCAGCGCTTATGTCGTTCATAACCGAACGAAGAACCGATTAATTGCCGTTCATATGGTAGCTTAAGAGAATCCAATCAGATAAATATTGATAGATCAATTATGAAGCCATTGAAGTATTAATTGAAGAATTACCAACTTTTAATTATGAAATCGTTATTTTTAGTTTAGTAGATTGTCTAAAAGTAAGAATTCAAGCATTTATATATATATGACAGTCCTTTAATACTCATTAACTATGTTTCAAAATCTTATATCTACTTTCTTCAACGAATATTTTACGTTTGATCTAATCATTATTGAAATATTTTTATTGTCACCATTTTCAAGGTGCAACAGACATTGTCTTTAACAAAAACAACGATTTTAAGAAACACTTAAATGTAAAGTAACAGTCGACTAACAAATTCAATATATATCCATGTTTTACATAGTTAACACATATAACTCGACCTGCAGCCCCTATGGATGGTTGGGCATGGATTAAGCGACCTCATCCTGTAAAATCTAAAACCGCTAAAAATACGATGACCATAAAAAAACCTCAAACCATTTAAACTCTGCTCTAAGCGAGAGAATGTTTTCATTTAGAGTAGTTAACACACCTCATAATGAAAGCGAATTTCCTTCTAAAGTCATGAGGTCGATGAACTTTCCGACAACCAGAGCAACAGTTCTTTTAGGTACATGGATGTTTGAACGTTGCAGGAGACCGTAAGACTATTCCAAATCGCCTCAAAAATGAAAGGATACAACCTGGAGGTGGTTGAAATCAGTGAGATACATTGGATACAGATTTTACAAAAAAACTAGCTTCAGGAGAGCTGCTATTGCACTCCAACCATGAAGAAAAAAATGTTGCACATTCACAAGGAGTTTCACTGATGTTATCAAGACGAGCACAACAAGCACTGATAGGATGGGAATCTCACGGACCCAGGATCATCAAGGCGCCCTTCAAAACTAGAATCAGGCCATAACAATGAGCGGCATCCAATGCTATGCGCCTACCAATGACAAAAATGAGAACGTTAAATATCAACTCTATGAGAAGCTGAAGTCAATCGTTGATAAATGCCAAGCTAGTGACGACCTAAACGTCAAGATTGGAATGGACAATAGCGGACATGAAGACTTCGTGAGATGAAATGGACTTAGAGAAAGGAACAAAAACAGTGAGCGATTCGCAAACCTATATGATTTCATCAAAATTGTCGTAGACGGAATCATATTCCCTCCCACACAAACGCATAGACAGAGCCACATGTGCTTCACTGTATCACACTACACAGAACCAAACACATCACATCTGCCTAAAAATAAATAATTCAGAAAGACAATGGAGGATATGAGAACAAAAAGAGGAGCTAATATAGCGTCAGGTCACCACTTGGAGGTAGCCTAAATGAAGCTGAAACTCAAGAAGCACTGGACAACAGGGTGGACAACCTCACTAAAGTTTAATACCGTTTTTCCGGGATACTGAAAGACTCAACGAATTCAAGGTAGCCCTCAGTAATAAATGCCAGATCTTTCATGACCTCCTCAACAGAGAGGAAATTACCATGAAGAACAACTGGGAAGAGATTAAAGAAGCCATAACTTCGATATATCAAGAAGTTCTGGACCACAAGAAGTACCATCATAAGGAATGGATCTCTGTGGATACTCTTGCGAAAGTTGAAGAAAGGAGGAACAAGAAGGCAGCAATCAACATCAGCCGAACAAGGGCAGAAAACTTCAGGGCTCAGGCTGAAGGCACAGAAGCAAACAAGAAAAAGAAGAGAAGAATCAGAGCCGACAAACGAAAATATGTGGAAGATGCAGCAGTGACGGCGGAAAAGGCTGCAAGAGAAGAAAACATGAGACAATTGTACGATACAACAAAGAAGCTCGCTGGAAACCATCGTAAACCAGAACAACCAGTGAAAAGCAAAGAAAGGAAAGTAATCAGCAACACTGAAGAACAGCGAAATAGGTGTGTACAGCACTTAAAAGAACTATTGAATCGACCAGCTCCACTGAACCCACCCAACATCGAACCAGAATCTATGGACCTCCCAATTAATATTGGCACACCAACAATTGAGGAGATCAGTATGGCCATCAGAAAAATCAAGAGCGGCAAATCAGTAGGACCAGACAACATTCCAGCAGAGGCAATGAAAGCAGATATGGAAGGAACTGTAAATATATTTCACATTCTCATCAACAAGGTTTGGGATGAGGACCAAGTACCAACAGAATGGAAAGATTAGTTCGTCATCAAAATACCAAAGAAATGCGATCTCAGCAAGTGTGGGAACTAAAGATGCATCACTCTTCTCTCAATACCAAAAGCAAAGTCTTCAACAGGGTATTGGCAAACAGAATGAAGGACTTTGTAGACGCACAACTTCAAGATCAGCAGGCCGGATTTCGTATGGATCGATCGTGTGCTGACCAAATTGCAACATTACGGATCATTGTGGAACGATGAATTGAAAGGAACTCATCAATCTACATAAATTTTATTGACTACGAGAGAGGATTCGATAGCGCGCACAGGACAACACTATGGAGGCCTTCTCGACACTACGGCTAGTCTGAGAAGTTAGTCATAATCATACGGAATTCTTATGATGGATTAAACTACAAAATCGTGCACGGAAGACAGCTGACAGACTCGTTTGAGGTGAAGACCGGTGTTAGGCAAGGATGCTTACTCTCATCCTTTCTCTTTCTCCCGGTGATCGACTGGATTATTAAGAGTCGTTAGCATTTGGAGTTAGAACTGTAAACAGTTGACAGCTGGACGATCTAGACTTCACAGATGGTCTGACTTTTCTACCCTACTTGCATCAACAAATGCAAGAGCAGACGACCAGTGTAGCAACAGGTCTTAGCATAGATAAATGGAAAAGCAATATCCTCCGATTTGACACAATATGCAGCAACCAAATAACACTTGATGGAGAAGCTTTGGTAGGTGTTAAAACGCCTACATATCTTTTCAGTATCACTGATGAGCATGGTGAACCTGATGCAAATTTTAAGGGGCAGATTGGCAAAGAAACAGCAGCATTTCTACAAATGAAACTCGAAACAACTATCAACCAACACTAAGATCAGAAAGTTCTATACAAACGTCAAGACTGGTCTGAGAATGGGGTGGAAACTTGGAGAACCACGAAAGCTATCATCCGGAATATACAAGTGTTCATTGACAGATCTCCACGTGAAATACTTCGCATTCGCTGGCTAGACGCAATCAGCAACAACCTGCTGTGGGAAAGAACAAACCAGATTCCGGCAGATGAAGAAATCAGGGAAAGGAAGCGGGAATGGATAGGACACACATTAAAAAAAGCACTCAACTGAGTCTCAAGGCAAGGCTTTGTTTGAAACCTTTAGTGCCAAAAGAAAACAGTAGAGCAAAGAAAACATTATGCATACTAATGGAGACAGGCATCAGAAGAATGAACAAAAACTGGAAAAAGCCGGAAAGGTACGCCCAGGATTGATTAGGTTAGGTTAGTTTTCTTGCAACCTACTCCTACACCGCAAAACATAGCTCGTCGAGGCAGTCGATGGTTGGGCATTCGTAACACATATCCTGACCACCTCAGCTGATGAGGTTTCAATATTTCATCTATTGACCGGCCATTCTTACTTAGTACCCGTTTCCTAACAACAGCATTGCTTACTTGATTGTCCCAGTTATATACGAGTAATCCTTCGAAGACACCCATTATCGAATACTAGTGATCTACGAATATCCTCTACTCTTAACGGCCATGTCTCGAACCCATATAGTAAGACGTGGCAAACTGCTGCGCAGTAAACTTGTCCTTTGGTTAGTAAATGGTATTTTGTCTACGCTATTAACGAAGCAGGTTGGCAAAAGCCAGTTAAACTCTCTGAAATTTTGTCAGTCAGCAGGCAATCAGCACTGATGTGACCCCCCAGATAAGTGAAACGGTATACACATTCGACTACTTCACTCCCTATCACTAGCTCAAGTACCGAAGCAACCGATTCTTGAGGCAACATTTTTCATTTTAAGGGGGAAAACTGCATCCCTAACATGCTTGTATTATTGCTTAGGGTAGTCAAGAGAAACTGCATTTTGTCAGCGTCTTCACCGAACAGAACTATATGACTGTCATATTTCAAGTCGATAAGTGAGTCTCCTGGTAGAAGGTCCATCCCTGAAAAGTCAGTCGAAGGTAGTGTTAACTGTAAAAGCATGTCCACGACAAAGTTAAACAAGAATGAAGAAACTGGACAACCCTGATGGACATCACTTGAAGTAATCAATTCTGCTGACAGTTCACCAAAAGCTCTCAGTCGACCAATAGCGTTCAAGTAGAGAGCTTTCATATGGTTACAACCTATCTACTTATACAATCACAATTACTCAGCGAACTTCAACCACAAAGCTAAGATCAATAGTTAGGTTCTTAATTTAACTACTCTTAGCTTCAGTGCAAATTACTTCAAACCTTGCCACGATTACAATACACAGAGAGAGAGAGAGATAGAGATGGTGAACTAAACTTCATCATTAAATTTCTCATGAAATAAAAACTAGCTGGCTTAGAATTTCTCAACTATTGCTTATTAATAAATTATATCACAACACTCTTTCTATTCACGTGAACTAATAAAAAAAAACTGAATTTAAATTTTAAATTGAAAAACACAACATATTTACTCCAAAAAAAGAAAAAAATTGATTAGAATTTTTATTGTTACAAAGCAAAGTTATATTGTCAAAAGAGCTGATCACTACTAACTAACAGGTACCTGAATTAAAAAACTGATTAAATACATAAAAAGAAAATCTATGTCAAGATCTAATCTGTTTTTTTCAAATACATAAATGAAAATAATAGAGAGAGAGAGGAAAGATTGTCTGTTGTTTTGTTGCACATAGAAACAAAACAAAAAAACGCTCATTATTTCCAACTCAAAGGGATCAATCAATACTAACTATACATCTTCGCTTTCAAGATCAGATTTTTCCGATTTTGTCAATGTTCTAGAAGAGGATGGTGATGAAGAATTAGCAGACACTGCGGCTGAGGATGGATACAAACACCAATGTTGTACCATGAATAAAATATCAAATCCAATGGATAAAATACCTAAGCCAAGTTTAATTGGTGATCCAGTGATACTGCTAACATCATCTATGTATTCAACCGAAATGATGTAAAACAGTAAAAAATTAAAAATTAGTGTATAATGTCATTACTCGATTACACATTTGAAATCATCAATCAGTTATTGCTAGACTACCGTTAGAAACCTGAGAAACACTGGACGACCGTTTGGTCCTGGTTTGGGACTCATCAGTAGAGGTAAGGCGTTCGCGCGCAAAACTGAAGGTTCTGGGTTCGAATCCTGAAAGATGCAGGAGTCATGGACGGGTATAGCTGATGAGTCTCACACTAGGACGAAACGGTCGTCCAGTGCTTCCAGGTTTCTAATGGTGGTCTAACAATTATTGATTGATGATTTCAAATGTCTTTCCACAGAATCAAGTATAACAATCATATATACATACAATCTTTGGTAAATGAGAATTAGTAACAATAAACATGCAGTCAATAAATCGGTCCAGTTCATACACAAAGATTATATTAACCGAAAAGAATATTTACAAATAAAAATAAAGTCACTGATAGAAGATAATGAATTTCTCATTATACAGTTATGGAGGTCGTTATTTTACTGAAGGATTGTGAATGTTGATCTAACAATGACTGAATCAAGATTTCAATGTAAAACAACAATCTCCATAATTTTTATTATGAAGAATTATCAAATGTCCTTACTAGTTACAGTATTCGTGAGATAATTCCCGAAGTTCTAGTGAGAAGTCGTAGCTAGTGGTGTCCATCCCTGTCACTTATAGGAAATAACTACCGGAGACAGTGGTTGCGGTAGCGCGACGTCCTTAGTTTGATCAAAGTGAGACAATAATACCATTGGGTGCTGGCTCGATGGTCTATAGGTGAAGCGTCCATGCGCATGGACGAAGGTCAAATGTTTGATCCTTGTTAGTAACGGGAGTGGTGGATACACATTGCTGAAGAGTCCTATACTAGGACGAAACGAAGCCTAGTACCGCTAGGTTTTTAATGGTAGTTTAATATTTATGGAATGATTTAAACTTTGGTGTTTGGACAACTGTTTACTTCTCCAATCCACTTAATTCAGATAGTGATAAGATTCTCAGATGAATTTGTCTTAGAAAGCTCTATTACCTAATAATCTGTTTCAAATGGAAATCACTAACATTTACTGATCAATGAAAACACTGTATCCACTGATTACCAGTTTTACAGATAGAAATGATAATAAAATGACAATAAAATCATACAGTCACTTCCTGTCGTATTAAACAACTCATCTCTTTATGCGTATAATATTATACAACTAGTTGATTACAGTTTCGCAGCTGTTAGGCTATTCACCAAATAACCTAAGAGTACTATTTTTGGAAGTAGAATCCTATTGGTCAAAATTATGGTCGTTTTAACTGACAAAGTCAAATACTTCAATGTTGTCTCTTATTGGTCATCCGGACTGTCAATGTCATTTCAAATGTTCTTTCCTATTGGTCGTCAATGTTACAGACTTTGATGCTCTTTCCTATTCGACCTAAATGTATAAATATGCACTATCTGTAAGACTCCATGTTTCCGTTTCTTCCTGCCTACCCCTCTTCTGTACTCGACCCAATAATCAACTCTGTCCAACGGTGTTGCGTTCTGATGTATTGGAGATTTGGAAATAGTATTTGTGTCGTACTGGGATATTTGAATTTGAACGCCGCTAGGACTGAATAGCCATACGTAGCAGCATTATAACAGCAGCATATTTAAAAAATGTTCCACAACGATATTCTTTGAAATATTCATGTCTGATTATATCACATCAGGTTAAATGATGAATTTGTTAAAGATAAACAATAAATTATTGAACATTCACTAACCGAATTCAATATGCCCTATAGTGAAACAGTTAAAACAAGAAACCAAAATAAAATATTCATTCCTTACTTGTATTATATGCTATGATCACCATTTGTGCAATACTTAGAATTCCTCCAGTAAAATCTAATATGATATTACCTATACTCCAACCAACTGTACTCTTACGACGAAAATTCATTAAAGCCTAAATAAATTAAAAAATGAGAAAAGAGAAAATGTATTTCCATTAACTTTTTTTCACAATCAATAGAAAAAGAAGCTTTAATCTTTCATAGACTCAATCATACAATGTTTCAATCAGTTAGTTACAACATAAAACTTCGTACGTAAGTATATCAGTTCAGGTTATCATACCACACAAGCACAGAGAGGCGATTGCTAAATCAAATCCCATAGTGGTTGAGATAGTAGACGCATTAACGGTAATGAAGTGGATTAGGGTTCAAAGATATTATGCAACAAGTATATCTCAATGAAATAAATTTAAAAAGATAAAGATAGAAATGATGAAGAATTCAGAAGATTAGAACACAAAGAGTGGATGCATCTGTACCATTGCAAACGGTTTTGAGCCATATCGTTCAAGGTCTCTAACCATCGATTAAGATCGTCTCGCGGACCCCAACCAGGTAGTCTACATCTACCAATATAGCTCAGTCTACTTGTCACTGACAATTAGGTTTTGTACCATGTTTAGATCTGGCCACCTCTACCTTTCTTCCAACCTACTCCAACACCATAAAACATCGCTCGCCGTAACATAATGTTTCAAACAAACTTTGAGATAATATAAAATCTCAAATATCATATTATAACCATTTACTTTTATTATGAACAACTATTCATATTAGATAAACAAACATATTGAACATTGAAAGCAAAGCTTTGTTTGACTTTTTAAAGTAATCAAATCTAAATTATAGAATTTTGAACATATATCATGAAAAGCTATAATCCATGTCATTATCAACTTGCAGTAGTTTTTGAAATTAAACTCTATCGAGTTAGGAAATACTAATTCATCAAGTAAAATATTGGTAACAATGTCTGAATATAAACATTATTATATATCATAATAATAATATCATCCATTTTGACTATAAGAAATCATGTAAAATGGATAACGATTGATCGCTTTTAACCAAAAAAATGCGTAAATATGACATGATCTAGTTATCATATTTCGGTTTTGCTTTCTCTTAACGACTTTCAGTCACATGATGTATGTAACACTCTATCCGGATTACTTAAAATCTAAGTATATTATTAAATAATGTTCAAACCTATGAATAATAAGTTAAAAGATGATTGTTTTAACAATCATTTCGTAATATAAAGGTTGCGTAAAACACTTGGATTGATCGAAGTCGGATATTTGATACCAGCTCAGTGGACCAGAGGTTAAGCGTTCGCGTCCTGGGTTGAAATCCTGCGGGTAGCGGGTGTCACAGAAGAGCACTGCTGATGAGTACCATAACTAGAAGAAACGGCCATCCAGTGTTTCCGCGTCACATATTTGTCAAAGTATATATATATATATATATATATATATATATATATATATATATATATATATATATATATTACCTCCTACAAGTATTAGGTTTTTCTAAATCAATAATCTACTTCAATCACATTATGAATTAAGGTATTTCATTGAACAATGAACAACTTCCTACGCTTTATACACTTTTTAAATATATCTTACACACAGGTTCACAATATTCCATCATATTTTAACCGTAATCTATACATGGTTGTTATCATAGAATCTATTCAAACTACACCAACTTTTTTCACTATCATCCGATTATGTTTTATTTGATCATAATCTGTACTTTGTAATATTTATTAGTTAAAAAATTAGATAGATAGATAGATATTTTCCATTTCATTATGACATATATATATATATTTTTTCTATCTGCGCTTTTAAATACAAAGTATTTTTAATGATTTGTATAATATATATTTTTAAATAATACTCATACATTTTCAATATTCAATATGAAGTCAGCTTCATATCATTATACTTATCTATCTTATGAGTGCATCGTTTTCATGCCAAATTAGTGAATTGAATTATATTATATTCATTCTAAATGAGGTTAAATATTTGAAATCATCAATCAGTCATTGCTAGACCACCATTAGAAAGTTGGAAACACTAGACGGCTGTTTCGTCCTGATATGGGACCCATCAGCAGTGTTCATCCACAACTCCTGCACCTTGCAGGATTCGAACCCGAAACGTTCGGTATTGTGCGCGAACGCCTAACCATCGAACCACTGGGCCGCCATGCAACGGTGTTAATATCTAACTCTGATTGATCTACGGTTAAATTTATAAAAAGTTTATTCAATACTACTTCACAATAATGTTCATTTTGATTTACGAAAATAGATCATGTTAGTCATATATATATATATATATGTGTTTGGCTTTTTCTTATTTATACGATTCATAATAGACTAGTAACTTTTATTGAAATATATGCTGATGAACGAAACTCAGAATGATCCAAATCACTTGCGAGAGAGGCTTATGGTTTGTTTTGATCTATCCCATTTCGACTTTTTAAAACCTGTATTCATGTATCTGAACTTGAGACTACAAAAACTAACAATCTCAAAATTCGATTCCCTAATGCATATCAAAACATAATTTTATATTTTTTTAATTAGATTTATGGAGATCAGTGTTTTAACACGTTGAAATTATCAATCAGTCATTGTTAGACCACCATTAGAAACTTGGAAACACTGGACGACTGTTTCGTCCTTTTATGGGACACAACAGCAGTGCGTATCCACGACTCCTACGCCCCATTACATTCAAACCATGTACCCTCAGTCTTGCTCACAAACTCCTAACTTCTGTACAGTCATTCCGCCGGAATGATACTAATCGTTCGTTTAACTGTGCCTTCCCGTCAACTGTCATAGGAAACATAGTTCATACTCAGATTAGAAAGTTATGTTTTACCTTATTGCTGTCATTACTCAGCTGTTGTTTTTTATTATTTAACTAAATAAGTATTATAATATCAACTAGCAAATCGATAGATAGACAAGTATGCAACTAACTAACTAACTAACTAACTATATTGGTTATGATTAAGAAACCTGAAAAAAAACAAGCTTTTGACTATTAAAATATATCTTGAGATAAACGATTTTTTTTTCTAAAACTTGAATTATTTTCGTAGCTTGACAATAGAATGATTCATTCATTCTAGATCATATTCCTAGATAGATCATATGAAATTAAACGTCATTTATCAATTTGTAGTTATATATATTTATATCTCATGTTTATTTCACACAAATACCAATCAAAATGCATGCTTCAATGTTCACTGATTACATTTGATTAAACCAATAATAATAATAATAATAATAATAATAATAATAATAATGATAATAATAATCATATAAATGTTGAAATGATCAAATCAAGCTACACAAATTTCAAGTAAATGCTATCGAACGGGATTAACTACTACGTCGGTATTTGTTTACAACTTGTTAGTTTGTTTGCATTTTTTTTGTGTCATGTTCATTTAAACACAGTTATTGTACTTTGAAATAATGATGATGATGATGATTGAAATGTTAACCAAAAAACAAAAAACAACAACATAATTTTATTTCCAATCTAAACAAATGATCACTTTTAGAAATAATAATGATATAACCTTTTTAATCAACAATTTTGTTTAATAAAATGAAAACAAGAGAAAAAAAACATTTGAAATCATCAATCGATCAATCATTCTTAGACTACCAGCATTAGAAACCTGGAAGCACTGGAAGACGGCCGTTTCGTCCTGGTATGGGACTTATCATCAGAGTTAGACATTAACACCGTTGGATGCTGGCCCAGTGGTTCGATGGTAAGGCGTTCACGCACAATATCGAAGGTTTCGGGTTCGAATCCTGCAAGATGCAGGAGTCGTGGATACGTACTGCTGATGAGTCTCATAACAGGACCAAACAGTTGTCCAGTACTTCCAAGTTTCTAATGATGGTCTAACAATGATTGATTGATGATTTCAAATGTGTAAAAGCGCAAACCTCCAAAACTCTGCCCCAGAAAAAAAACGCTTTATTACACACAGATTTATTCTCAACACTATCATTGTGTGTAATAAAAATATTTTCCTAAGAGACTTAGAAAAAAAGAACATTATACGCACTGCTGATGAGTAGTCCCATAACAGGACGAAACGGCTGTCCGTCCAGTGATTCTAGGTTTCTAATGGTGGTAGTCGAACAATGATTGATTCATGATTTCAAATGCATAATTGAGTTGTTAATGCATTGAAACTGATCATTGTATGCAATAATGTAGGTTAACTTCATACTTTTATATCAGTATTACCTTTTAAAAAGTGTGAAATTCTCAACAGCAAATCTCTATTTAACAAATATTGTGATAAACCAGTTAAATGAACGCAAGTACGTTATTTCTTATTCACTTTTATTAACCTTATATAAATCTAAACTGTATAAGATAAAAGGTGATAAGTACGTACAAGATGAACATTTTACTCCGAGATTATTGTATGAACAGAAAATGAGAGTATTTATAAAAAATACTGTTGACTTTGGGCTTCTGTAAGGTTTGAAAACCAAACTAATCTTAGTAACGGTATCGCTAAATTTACAGTCAGGATCGTGACACGTGATTCAAGCTTTTTCCAAATGTTTCTACCTAGATTCTATCCAATGCTGATTGGATGAAATGGTTCGTAGCGTTTCTTAGCCTCAATAGACTTTCCCTAGGAATATTTTGGGGCTCCCCATTTCACTCGTGTTCTATTAATTCCAAAGCTACTTTCAAACGATGGTTTTTATAGCTGATTTCTGGCATTTATCTTCAGCCAGAAACGTTTGCCGATAGTTTGGCTGCTAGAATAATTTTTCCCTATCCACATGAATTCCAGTGTGTTTGGTTGTTTCTCATTGATTTCAAATAACAGAAAAGAACAGAAAGTATACTCACAACCATTGCACTTGGATATTAAATTTTCTAATATCATATTGATCAATAACAGTTATCTATTATAATTACTTATATTTATATTTACCAAATTACTGACGCGCTCAAAGATTTTAAAGGATCTATTTTCTAACCATGAATGTGAACCTCCTTATTTTTCATTTTTTTTGCACGGAATATGTAATTAGAATAAATAGTTTTGCTTAAGGCTATCAATAGAGCGCGGTAAACTTATTAAGTTAAAATTTAACCAATTATTAATAATCACAATTTTAATAGGAATGTATTTAAATATAACCGAATAGAAATATCATGTTTTAAGAGATCAAAACAAAATTGTACATTGAATCCTTGAATCAAAACACACAAACAAAAATACTCCTCATCAATTTAAATTGTAAAAAAAAAATATTTCCATTACATTAGTAGTTATTACTTACCTGTGGTGCATATTTAATGAATGATATAAATAGTTTAATATAAGATAATAAGTAGAAAGTATCTAACCATTCCATTGTATTGACTCCACCCAAAATGCATACAATAATTGTATAGATTGTGATTAATATTAATATACCTATACATATTTTCGATACACGTTGACCACCACGCTGAATTTTATTGTTTTAAAAGATGTAAAAAAAAATTAAAACAATTACTATGATAGCGCGATAACTAGTTAACACGAATTTAAGCTAATATCAAAATTATATACCGAAATATGATTTTTTTTTTGCAGAGTCCCATAATGCAATACAATATCATAACTATAAGTTATCGAGTATAAATTCCTCTAATTGTTTTAATTAAAATATTCATGTTTAGAGAATGCAAATAATGAATGCTTCATAAAATAACTGGTAACACTTTTAAAGATTAATAGACCAGTGGAGTGGAAATTAGTCTATTGTTTGTTTTAATTCATTAGAGCTGACCAATGTTCATTGATTAGTCTATGGGATTATATACCATTCAATGATCAATCGATATATATATATATAGGAGGTCAGTCGTAGCGCATATAGCTAGCTTTGTAATGTAAGGTCCGGCGGATCCTCCATCTGAGAGCATGAATTCCTACAAGATTGAACGTATAATTCGGTTTTTGAGTGCTTACTATCAAGAAACGTGTGCCGATCGTTTCCTACTCATATTATCTCACTATTCATCATAAACAATATTTTCTTTTCTATATATGATAAATAATATAATAATTTCTTTTTATTCAAATATAGAATACAACATTTTTTAACTTGGATCGATTTTTTTTTCAATAATATTTGACAATAGGTCAGATTTATACACACTATATGGATATTTTTTCTCTTACCATTACTTCAATTCGATTGTATACTAACTATTAGAAGTAAAATAATATAAAAGTAAAATAGAATTGGTAAACGACAAAAAAACAATTGAAATTTGAATACTCTCTCTTGATTAATTTTCTTAATTTCTTCCTTTTTTCTTCTTGTGAATTCATATGATGTAGCGTAATCAATCAGTTAATCAATCAATCACGAAAAAGAAAATCTAAAGGTAGGTAATTTTTTTTTCAAAGCAAGTATCGTTTATCTCTTCTGTGTATACACCTTGTCCACAGAGAGATAATTTAGACTTCATTATTTGACTTAAATAGACTTATTGAATTTTGACTAAAAAGAAAAGGAATATTTTCGATGACAGTAACAATCTTTCCTGCTGTAATCAAATTATGGTGTCAAAATAAGACAGCTGAATGTTTTTTACTCCTTTTGTATCATATTTCTTGGATTATTTAATTTAAGATGATGATGATGATGGCGATATTGACGGATAACGAATGAATGACCTAGTCAGTAGTGGTACAGTACGTTACAAATATCGAACAGCTACAAGTAACACTCCAATTATTCATTGATATATATATATATATTTCGGAACCATAAATCGATCAATGTTGAGCCACCATTAGAAGCCTGGAAGCACTGGACTACCATTTCTTCCTGGTATGGGACTCATCAGCTGTGCTCATCCACGACTCTCGCACCCCACAGGATTCGAACACATATCCTTCGGTCTCAGAATGTATACCAATCTTCCCAACCCCGTAATGCGATTATCTGTGACCACAAGCGACTAGCTCCGTAAGGAATCTTCTTCGAGTTCTAGTTGGAAGTCGTGACCGCTGAAGTTCAACCTGTTCGGGCGTAGACAGTAACTACCGAAGATAGTGTATGAGGTTGCGCTACTCCGTGAATTGATCGAAGTTAGACATTAACACCGTTAGATAACGACTCAGTGGTCCAGAGGTTGGGCGTTCGCGCACAATAACGAAGGTCCTGGGTTCGAATCCTGCGAGCTGCATGAGTCGGTTGCGCACTGCTGATGAGTAGTCCCATACAAGGACGAAACGGCCATCTAGTGCTTCCAGATTTCTAATGGAGGTCTAACATTGACTGGTTCATGGTTTCAAAAAAATGTGTAACTTAACAATCTTCACAACCCCGTAATACATATATATATATATATATATATATATATATATATATATATATATATATATATAAACTGAAATATAAACAAATAGTGAACATAATCCGTCTACGTTACAATATAAATTTTTTCCTACAAATATTTGTAAAATATCATGTCTATATATTTTAATCCTGTTTTGTTTGTATGTTGTAGACAGATTGACACGCTATCAATAAACTTGACTTTACATTAGAGACAGTATGTAGAAGAAACAAAATATTCTGTACAGCATATCAAATGTTTTTTTTTCAAAGGAAACAGAGAAAAGATTTCAGTCGATCGGTATTTTTACTGATTTTTGAATTGTCAACTAGGTTATTCTAAAGTGAAACTTTTACAAAGTTCACAATCGATAAAAACATGTGAAAATTGAATAGCTGATTTAATGGAAACTGAATTGTCTTTTTTGTTGTTGTTGAAATTGGATTTTTGCAATGCTATCCAGAACTAGTAGTGTTTAATCCTATTTGGAACTGACTAAATGATGTCCACAAGGATACTTAAACGCATCACCTTTTGCTTCAATCAACAACATCATATCCGATAAGCTCATGTAGCTATGTACTCACTAGTTTATTCAATAGCTGCCGATTTTAATTCAGATATGAAACGAAATGTACTAGATTAACGTCTCAATGTAAACATCAATACCACAATGTCGGTATTTTGCAGTTGATGAATTCTAAATAAGAAGAAGTGCATTCCACTGTAGCCCAATATCCAATGTTAATAAAAAAATTAATGACCAAACAGTAATAACAAGGCTTCTCGCTCAAGATTCAAGTATGGGCTGATTAGAAGCAGTGTTCACTATCAACAACGAGGTAAATATCAACTCTTCTTAAGATGGTGGAGAGGGTTTGTAGCTCAGGTGGATGATTGTGGTAGTGGTGTTTGGTTCTCTGAGCTGGATTTTTTGGTTGTGGAGCTTTCATCATTATTCTTCTGAACAACAACATCATCAGCACAAACTTCAGATAGAATTAGTGAAGTATTCGGATTTCTCCACGTTTGACCTGTAGCTTGTTCTGTTAACCTCGATCTTGATTGTTTGCTGTTGACCTTAAACCTGTCGTTGTTTGAACCTTTATTTTGATTGTATCCTCCTTTTGATTCGTTTCTTGATCCTATGTCACCCAGTATTTTTCTGATTGGTTAATAAATTGGGTCAATGTCGATGTGTTGTTTGTTGATTGCTGATTGACCTGACTGCCAAGCTTCTAAAAATTACCTAGTGCGTTCTTTGCCCTCCCCCTACTTAGTAGAGGGACAGGTTTAAGTTCAACAGCAACCAATCAACTGATCGAGGTTAGCAGAACAAGTTACAGGTCAAACGTGGAGAAATTCGAATACTTCACTTCACTTCTATCTGAAGTTTGTGCTGATGATGTTGTTGTTCAGAAGAAGAATAATGAAAGCTCCACAATCAAAACACATCCAGCTCAGAGAACCAAACACCACTACTACAACCCTTCTTAATTATAGTCATTTATACTGTATGCATTTTGATTAAAATTTCACAAGCCACAAACTGTGTTTACGATATAGCAAAAACTGCTGTCAAGTTAAATAAATAGATTATTGTCCAACTTCATATGAGTTGTTTTCTTTTTTAACGACCAATAGAAATGATGATTATTGTTATTATGAAATATTGAATGACATCAATTAAACATGAGACAAGGGAAAAAATATATTCATTGAACCTACCTCATAGCACAAGATTTGTGAAGCTGTTACTGAAGAAATGAATAATGCATGAAATGCAAATGCCAGATCATTTGGTAACACCGGTACTGAACCCAATGGATTTCTTTTTAAATATTGTTCCTTTAATAATAATAATAATATCAATCAATCAATCAATCAATAGATACACAGAAATATACAATAACAGAATTATAAAAATAATAATTGAATGAAAATAAAATTTCATCACATTTGTTTTTTAAAAAAACATGGAGAATATTGAATTTAGTTCAACAAGTTGAGATCAAATGTTTTACTTATTGGACAATAGCTTATCGCGTTCAAATCATCAATCAATCATTGTTAGACCATCAGTAGAAACTTGGAAGCAATGGAGGGCCGCCAAATCCCGGTATAAGACTCATCAGCAGTACGCATCCACGACTAATGCACCTCGCAGGATTCGAACCCAGGACCTTCGGTGTTGAGCGTGAACGCCTAATCTATGGACCACCTGGCTGACATCCAGTGGTGTCAATGTCTAACTCTGATCAATCTAGAGATTTTGCGCGATCTCACTCATTTGTCTTCGGTATTTACTGTCTACACGTGACAAGGTTGAACTCCACTGGTCATGTTTTCTTACTAGAACTGCGAAGCTAGTCGCTAGTCAGTAACAATGAATAATTGATGATTTCACCGTGTAAAAAACTTTGATTGAGAAAAAATATATTATCATCTTTTATATAATTAATGACTGTACCGAATTCATATTTATTCTAAGAAGTATTAATTAAAAACAGACCAAAAGCAACAAAGTTTGTAGAATCTATGGTTACAAGGGAGAGGAGTTTTTACAAGTTCTATTGTCAAACACATTTTCAATAGTGGACATGTCGTGGATGCGACTAGTACATTTAAAATAGTTAATCAACAAAAAACGTCAGTCTTACTTCAATTGATGGAAGCAATTGCTATCAAACGTTCCCAACCTTATCTATGTATATTGAAGAAAAGTGTGATAAGCCTTTGCCCACCATGATGATAAGATATTTAGCTAAAGATGGTTATTTATCTTAAATGGTAATGTTTTTACTTAACACTATCCATAGGCTTCATTTTAATTCTATTATTCTTTTGTCTTCAAATATTCACCTCTTATATAATCTTAGTGATGTCAACATCATACGGAATTCATATGATGGATTGAACTTCAAAATCTTGCACGGAGGACAGCTGACAGTCGTTCGAGATAAAAACCGGTGTCAGGCAAGGTTGCTTACTCTCACCCTTTCTCTTTCTTCTGGTGATCGACTGGATTATGAAGATGTCAGCATCTGGAGGAAAGCACGGTATGCAATGGATAGCTAGGATGCACCTGGAAGATCTGAACTTGGTAGATGAC